GATACTGAGATACACACCGACAACTGGATTGACAGGACTTGATGATGAAGAAGATGATGATGATGATGATGAAGATGAAAAAAGGTGGCTGAACAAAACGGCCGGTTCGCCGATTTTTGGCTTTTCTCTTAGACAGGGCCTAGAGCCACGCTATGGGTACCAATGGAGTCCTCTGGTCAAGATGAGGTCCTCTAAGAAGTCTGGTAAGCATAGGAGCTCGTTTTCCCGGTTTAGCAAGGCTGCAAAAGTCGTGGCAGCCATTTTGTTTGGGGGTGAATCCTACTTAGTAACGCTACCGCGTTACTAATAGTACAGGATCACGATCAAGAGTGAGATCATTCGATTCAAACGATTTCTGCAGAGCTATCTCAGAAGCTCGTCTTACCCTAACTTAACCTATTCATTTTATCTTATTATTTTTCTATCACTTATTTCCGTTATTATTATCTCATTTATTAACCTGCTATTTATCCCTGTGTTATATCTATTTTCTAAAAAAAATTGTTTATTTAAGGGCTCAGTTCCCTTCTACACTGTACTATAGTACAGGGACTTTTACCCGATTTTGGAGCAACTTTAAAAATTCGTAAAAAATCCAAACTTGATCGGAATCACCTCAAACTTTCTACACAACATAAGTACATGTATATGTATCAGGAAATGTAATAAAAGTTGAGAATTTTTTCCTAGTCATTTTTGGTGAAATTTGGTCAAAGTCCCATACTATAGTACAGGGACTTTGGCCTGATTTTGGAGTAATATTTGAATCAGTATAATTACTCAGCTCTTCTTTGTAGGTATATTCTCGTACAGTCAATACAGAAGCTACTCATCCTTCATTTGGTCCAATCAAACAGTTGGCTAGTGGGATCTCTTCCCTAATCCCTGATAATATCCAACTGTTCGGAGAGAACATGTTTGGCATCCATTCAATAGAATACAACTCACTGGAATCATTCTTTTATTTATTTGGTAATTCTTATGTACATGTACAGTATAGCCTCTCTTAATGGACACTCTCTATAGCGTACACCTCCATTTAACGGACAGTACCTAGTGTACCAATTACATTCCTTACTGTATAAAATGACCTTCACATTAAGGACACCTCTGTATAACAGAAGCCCTGTTGTTTACACTATGCCCTTAAAGTGGTTTGAAACCAGTTTAGAAATAAACCAGTTTACTTGTGGACAATTTCAATGCAGTTTAAAACCAACTTATCTCTAATCACCTCAGGAGGTGGCATGAGATAATCAAACCTGTTCAAGTACTGAAGCAGCTGCATATCATGTATGCAATGTAGCATTGTAAACCAATTCAACCACAGTTACGTGTGGACACAATTAAGCTGGTTTCTGAACCGCTTTGATCCAAACTGGTTTGTAGTGTAAACGGGGGCTTAGAGACACTTTCAAGTGTCCATTATATAGAGGCTAGCCTGTATTCATAGCTGTGATGTTTTATCACTGATGCTATCTTTATTGTACAGATTGAGTTATCTTTATTGGTATGGAGGACACAAAGTAGCCATGTTTAATTAGATACATGCAAGCTAGTCCTTTCATTTTATCTATAGACTATACACTGTTCCTTTGTAGTTCCTTTATTCCTTTGTAGTCTGTCAACATTATTGTGTGTGCTCTTGGGGAAATCTGATGGATTGGATTTGTGTCCTGCTGCTCAATGGGAAATGTCCCAATTTCTGAGTATTTGTTTTAGCTGGCCCCCACAGAATAATAGAGAAAACCACAGCTAGTACCACAAAAGATTAAATACTATTATTATTTATTGTTATCATTTCCAATTATACTATTAAATTATAAAGTGTCTCTTGAATACAGGTGTTTTAGAAGATGGTGAGAGATGGCACAGTTGGCAATCAGTGCTAGACTATTCCTCATTACTGGGTCTCCCTACTGTACCAGTACTGACAATAGCAGAGGTAACTACAGTCCCTGATCTCCTCTTTAAAAGGAACTTCCCTCAACTACTATTGCATTACAATCTTATCTAATTATCTTACTATAATCAGCTTTTCCTCTACCTACCTCTCTCTTTCTCTCAATTTCCTTTGGAGTCTATTTTGTTTGTGTTGCTGCTTGGAATAATAGTGTTGAGTGTCTAGTTTGTACACATTTACATGTAATGCACTACTACCTGTGTATCCTAACATTTAGTCATGTACATCAAAAAATAACCTTGTTTGTTCTTTTTCCTGTCCATTTGCCTCTTTCTCTCTCCCTCTCTCTCTCTCTTTCTCTCCCTCCCTTTCTCTCCCTCTCTCTCTCTCTCTCTCCCTCTCTCTCTCCAGTTTCAATCTCTTAATGAGCTCCAGCTTCTAATTGAGAAGAACATGAAATCTCGTTCACAATGTGGTTAGACAATCCCTCAAATAACCTCATTCCTTCTCTCAAGGTTCTAGCTCTCCTGAAGGTTTTGTAGTTCGTAGCGTGAGCAGTTTCTCATACTCTGAGTTTGAAACCCACGTCTGTAAGTACGTGAGACCCAATCACATTCAGACGACCGATGACTGGAGGTTGAAATGGAAACAAGCATCTCTTAAAAAATGAAGTAAGACAGTCAGTCATCTTTCTCTTCTCGTAGTAACACTGTGTGTGTAGCCAACCTCAACTGTATTTGGCTTCAGTTGTGGTGTAGAGTTTAAGTTGACATACACATTCTATACCAACTCTTCCTTTCTGGAGTGGATATTTGACTCTCTCTCTCTCTTTCTCTTTTTCCTTTTGTCGTAATGTTGACCTTTTGGCTTGTTGAATAATAATTATATTCATATTAATTACCTTTCCTAGTGTTTGCAGATATACATGTAGTGTGGGACTGGACCTTCACTGAGTCACTCTCTCTTTCTCTCTCCATTTTGTCCTTATTTGGGAATAATAAGGTCTAAAGTACAGCTGCAGTGACCCTCCTTTACAATGTGTGTGTGTGTGTGTGTGTGTTGCTTGATATTCAATTGTGTGAGAAAGGTGACATTCTTTCTGTAGCAATTAGATGTTGCTTTAATAACAATAAAAGACTAGAAGCATATTCACAAAAATAAAATAAAATAAAAAATAATAATAATATACATTACATAGCAATATCATAAATAACAACAACAACAACAATAATAATAATAATAATAGGTAGCAAATGTTTTTATAATGTGCATTATGTGTAGGAGACAAGTGAATTCGGCTATTATATTATATTATAATACAAGTGATGATGTCATGATTAATGATTACGTCATTATGATATCACGTTCAGTCGTCAAGGAGATACATGGCAGGGTCTGGAGTAAAGGTCTGGATCTGTTTCCAGACGAGCCCCTTCCAGCAGCTGGCCTCCAACTCCAGCTCCTCGTAGTCGTCTGAGTAAGGGAGTGCTGTGGTCTCGTAGACAGGATCAGCGTAATCAGAGAGGTAAGGATGACTCAGTGCCTCCTCCACTGTGATACGTCTCTCAGGATCAAGAGTGAGGAGTTTCTTGAGGAGGTCCAGTGCGTCGTTGTTGTGTATTTCTAAAAGGTTCTTCAAGTTTTTCGGCTTTATTACTTTAAGAGATTGTAGATAAAGCTTTGTTTTCTGATGAGGTATTTTATCTATGAGAGATTGAGATGGTGTCCCCATTATCTCGAATATCTTATGCAGCTGGTCAATTTGGTTGTCTCCTGGAAAGAGGACTTTACTTCCTAATAGTTCGGCCATTATGCACCCAACAGACCAAACATCAACTACAAACAATGAGAGAGAGAGATGATAATGACAATGTATCTGTTTGTACCAATTCAAACAATTTGCATAAAAATAACAATTCCACTTATTGAGGGCTGACATCATTCAAACTAGCTGTGGTCACACTAACCAGGGAATGGATGGTTAAGGAGAACTAGTCAAGCTTCTGACCACCTGCTCTCCTTTTAATATTTACATTAGTACTAATTGCATATAAACGCCCAATGGACACCTCCAGATTACAGTATTGGACAAACACTACTATACATCTGCCCACAACCAGCATTCCTTGGTCAGCTAATAATGAATTGACTTATTCTTAATTAGACCACAATGGTTGATGGGTCATAGTAGATAGTTCTCCTGAACTTGCTCCAAGCAATCAAGATTTAATTTGTTGAGGTCAGACATGCAACCTCCAGCTATGGAGAGCTGTCACAGGGTTGCACTGTTAAATTGGGAGCTTTTTAATTAGCTGATCAAAAGGCCCACAATACACATAGCACTGATAATCATACTAAGAATTGCTAGCTGCATGTTGTATAATGTAATGTGTGCTGCAATAGCATGGCGTGTTTCTCTACCTTGTTTTCCATAGTTTTCCCAACTGAGCATTATTTCCGGTGCTCTGTAGTGACGGGTTGACACATATCCTGTCATGTCCCTGTCGGTCTGTCTTGCTAGACCAAAATCTAATATCTGCATTAGAGAGGAGAGAGATCAGAGAGGAAATGGTAAAAGTACAAAGGGATAATACAGTGGGGCACATTTCAATAATTAATGATGCTATGTATAATGAATTTCATTACTTCCTCTAATTTATTCGTGTGGTTGTTGTACACATAGTGTCTGATATACTTACCCTGAGATCACATGTCGGATTGACTGCAATATTGCTAGGTTTAAGGTCCCTGTGAATGATACCAGCTGAATGCACGTACTTCAAGCCACAGAGTATTTGGTAGAGTAGGAACTTGATGTGGTCTTCGCTTAGAATTTGTGAGGTTCTATTTTCTATAAGGAAGAAAGAGAGTAATTGATTACTAGCTAGTCCGTTGAGATCATTATTTTGATATTATGATGTGCTTCCTTTTGTGATAGCACAGGAAGTACTCAACCAGTGGATCTGAACCTTTAGGCAGTCATGCTATATTGTTCTAGTTCTAAGGAAACCAGAACTTGTGTACATACAAATTACCCTGTAAACACAGGAACACAGAATTGTTCCTTAAAAAGAATTGCTCCTTTAGTCAATGGGCCGTTTCATATTGAGTGGGTACATGCATATTTCTCCAATTACTTAACATGTTTGATTCGGAACTTTGTTAAAGGGGGGAAGTCAATGTAGAGCTAAGTTCCAGTCTTGCCTCATCTCCATTGGGAATATAATACCCATATATGGAGGTACCACACACAGCATTCTTTTGTTATAATTGTATGAATATAGACAATGTGTCAATGATTATGTTCCGTTTTGGAATTTACCACCATGGCATGTAAGCTTTCTAAAAATAGACTTTTGTTTATGCTGGCTGGTCACATGTATGGTATTTACCCATTGAAAGAATACTTACTATTTAATATCTACCCATACATTGCATGACAACGTGACAAAAATGCCTGTTATGTCATGCAGTTTTCTTTTGGTAATTCTATACTCACAGATTCTGATGTAATGCCGCATTGTTGTAGCAGCGTAAAGCATGACACTGCTACTCTCCTAACCACTACTGACCTTTAGCACTATGCAACTGCATATTCATTGTATCAGGGCATGCAGTAGACTTTGAACTATATTATTATCATAGGACGGTCTCTCTCACCTTTTAGCAGTTTGGCTAGGTCCATGCTCATGAGGTGCATCACCATGTAAAAGTCGGAGAATTCCTCTATGTCCTCACAGGGGGAGAACACGTCCAATAGTCCGATGCAGTTCTCATGTTTTAAATGTGAGAGTATTCTCATTTCCCTGTAGGCTTTCTTGGCATTGTGCCTGTGCTCGAATGGAGCATAGAGCTTCTTTATTGCAACTCTAATCCCGTACTTTGTGTCCAGTGCTGAGCATACTTGTCCATATGCACCTATGAAGGATAAAGGAACCATAATAATGAACACTGATCCGCACTGTAGTATCATAGTGATAACTGCGGTTTTCAATGTTGCATACCAGAATTGATCGGAGTTAGTTCTTGATATCTGTCAGGTACTTCCCACGTTGTCCCGTTGATTTTTGAGCTGTAGTAGCCTTGGGGCAGTCTCTTTGCCATGTTCTTTTGTATGGAGTTCTTCTCTCTCTCTTACAATTCTCAAAGGAATCGTCGAAAAGCAATCTTGATGGTTTCATCATTCTTTTCCTCTCTTTTTATAACAATATCCCCGCAGGATTAATTAATAGTTAATTAATGACAGACTCGATAGAGCATGCGCAATAGTAAATCTCCATGGCAACCAGTACTCGGCAAACAATAAGTAGCTCAAAATGGCTAGCGATGATAAGACGAGCGGGATCACTGCAGCTCTCCCTTTCCTCCCAGGCAACACTTTCACTGATAAAACGGTGACTATCCAACATAACAATCCATAGCATTACAATTAAATGATTTTTTTGCAGAGGACCAAGTACCACAGGAGCCATACATTAGCATACAAGAATGGCTACTCGATCCCTTCTCGTCCTACAGTTGGTATAGGAGGCACAAGAATACCTTACAATCAGCTCTCAGAGGCTGACCTTGATGAGCTCTCGAACATGCATCCATCCCTCACTTATGGAAACTCCAGCACTAGTGCTGTCCCCATGGTGGAGTTTGTACCAGCTCATGTCTCTTTTGACAAGAAAGTAATGGAGGAGTTTTTGTTATGACTAGGAGAGGGTTGGAAGTCAATACAGGATTATTTGTTGTGTTTAATGCATGGCTTGTTGTTTAGGCTTAGTTTGGATCCTGATCTATTCTACATATCCAGTGTTCACTCTATGTTAGTTAGGCTAGGTTAACTATGTTAGGCTGGTCTGAGTCGCATAAGTGCCACGTGTGACCATTTGCACTTCCAATTGTAACTCCTGCTAGTCATAAATAGTGACCATTTAGCGTCCCAGTGTTTGTATACAATCCAAACGTGCCCATCAATAATATTGTCATTGGTTTGGCCATAATAAAAACTTATAAAGATAATAATGATGATGATGATAGATATTGTAATTATAATCATCATCATATCATAGCGTACACCTCCATTTAATGGACAGCACCTAGTGTACCAATTACATTCCTTACCGTATAGAATAACCTCCACATAAAGGACACCTCTGTATAACAGAGACACTTTCTTGGCCATAAGTGTCCATTATATAGAGGCTAGTCTGTATTACAATATGCTTTTTTCTTCTGTAGGTGTTAAATTTTGATGCTTACTTCAAGCAGACGGTACACGAGAGTCCTGATGAGTATTATCGTGTCAGATATGTGAAGGTTTACTATTACCTGGAGGATGATTCCATTTCTGTTGTAGAACCACCAAAAGAGAACAGGTAGTGTGTAGTGACATGTAATGTGTCCAGTATTGTCATGTACATTTTGTGATCATCAAGTCATACCAACCTTCTCATGCCTGCATCCTTTCCTTTCACATTTTTTCACTCTACTCTACCTTTACCTAGTTAACAACATTTTTGTACATTCTCTCTCCCTCCCTCCCTCCCACCTCTCTCTCTCCTTTCTAGTGGCATTCCACAAGGAAAGCTAATTAAAAGGCATCAAATACCTTGCAATGATTTAGGTGATTGTTGGCACTGGAAGAAACTGAATCTTGGCATAGACGTAGCTTTTTATGGAAAGATATTTCACATTTATAATTGTGATGATTGGACTGGAGTAAGTCTATATTAATAGCTGAGATATACAACCCTTTAGCATAAGCTCCAGTTGATCATGTACACTCCATACAATAGCCCATTTGTCTGTCTGTACATGTACATGTACATGCCAATGGTCCATTATCAAATGTTGTCGGTGAGATTATGGTATAGCCTACCACACATGTACATGTACAGTAGGTGAACCTACATTCTTCTAATTGATATCCCAGTGAGTCAGTACTCTTTGTAAACATGGTCCATGATTTCAAAGACATTCACAGTTATGCTGTCTCCTCTTCACTTTGCTTGTACGTCCATTTACAAAGCTCTATTTGGGTAGCACAGTTATGATAACGCTTTCTTATTTATGGCTGTCCTGGCCCTTACAACAGCAGCAACTGGCATAACAAAGAATTCCTTCAATTTTATGAATTAAAATTCAATTTTTTAAATGATGACCTAATCAGAATTAATATTTAATTATTATAATAATAATGTACATGTATACATGTACTGTACTATTGATGCATATCATTAGTTATTGTTATAGTAATCAGTGTCTGGACATTAATCAATTTACAATGTATCATTAATCAACTTATCATTAATTATAACCCAATCCAATACTCCAACCATTGACGTAATACTCACTACCGATGAGTCCAGTCACATGGTAGGAGTTGAAAATGAGTCTAGCCAGTACTTGGACCCATGATATAGACTGTTCCACATTATATCATCAACAGCTACAATGGAAAGACTCCTCATCAGGGCATAATAAGGACACCTGTTTATGTAACACTGTAACCATTATTGTCTAATGAGAACTCAAAAATTCTTATACATGTACATGTCTATTTCATCACTGCACGTGCAGTTGCATAACATTGTCTGGTGTTAATTCTGTCACAATTCAATTTGTATGTACACACATGTACATGTACTCCAGGTTTGTCTCTGTCTGTATGATTTATGGGATTGTGATTGAGCAGGAGAGCTGATTGGATTTCTGACTGATGAAACAATTCAATTATAATGTCTGTCTAACACGAAGCAACAAACAATTACCAACCATGCACTGTACATGTACAGTAATACGTAGATATACTGCACACATAGAACTTGTCTAGTATGCACTTTATAGTCATAATGAGTTGACATGATTTGTACATGTACATGTATAATGCTAGCCAATGCAAGCATAGCTTCACTTATGGCACATACATAAACTAGTGCACAAATTGAATATACCATCCCTTTATTATTATTAGACAGCACTTATAATAGACACCACAGTTAACTAATACATGAATAGGTAGGTATAAATAGGCACCTCTAATGGTGTCTAGACGTTGTTAATTATCCTTTATAATGCCAGGCCCTTACATCCTGCCCTAATACCAATCATTCTATCTACAGTACATCATTAATATCTGTTTGTACTCTTACCTGATGTGTATTGATTGTAATTATGTCTGTGTGCATATGTAGCCTGGGAAACCAAGGAGATGAAAGGATACTTTTAAAAGTTGATGCACACATGTATCATCACTGTATAGTAAGGCGTGTACGTTATGTTATTCTTGTGATCAAAGAGTGTCAAACAGTGATTCCAGTCCTAATGTACTTTATAAAACAAACAACGTCATAAAGTCATGCACATTGTGTACATATACACGTACATGTAAATATACATGTAACTGACAGATCTAAATAATTTGGATAGAAATGAACAACAGAGAAAGGATAGGGAGAAGCTATGATCATTTATAACTAGAAATACTTGTACTTGTATGATTGAAATATGAACTTTATAATAAAAGTACAATTATTATTATTATTTCATTTTTTAGGAGTTTTTAAAGAGCGAAGGTATTGAGTTGAATCCTCCCGAGCAGCCTCCAGCTGATCCCTACACTCAGACCAGGCTCAAGCCACCACACACTTTCCACACTCCGTCCGACTTTGACAAACTGAGGCAGTTCATTGAACTGGATAGAAAGGTCCTGCGCTTCTATTGCGTGTGGGACGACAGGGACAACATGTTTGGGGAAATACGACCTTATGTAAGCTAAAGACACACACACACACACTATCAGTCACTAACACATTATCATTCACACACACATTATCATTCACTAACAGGCAAGCACTCACTGATTGTTATCATCTTGTACACACACACACACACACACACACACACACGTGAAGTGATTGTATCCCATATTATGTATACATGTTCATTAAGACTCCAGCTCATTTACATGTACCAATTTCCCTACTCTCTGTCTAAATATTGTACTACATTATTTAACAAGCAGTTCATAGCCACCAATAATAATAATAATACACTGATAGTCTCTATAGGTACTTCTTGATTGCTAGGAATTCAAAGTGTGTGTAAACATTATTAATTGTTGGCCTGACTGTCATCTGACCCTTCAAGGTGACTCCATGCATGACTGATGCTCCTATATAAACTAATGGCATTAATTAATACTGATTTACTGTACTGATAATAATACTGCTTTACTGTACTGATAATACTGCTTTACTGTACTGATAATACTGGTTTACTGTACTGATAATACTGGTTTACTGTACTGATAATACTGCTTTACTGTACTGATAATACTGCTTTACTGTACTGATAATACTGGTTTACTGTACTGATAATACTGCTTTACTGTACTGATAATACTGCTTTACTGTACTACTGATAATAATACTGCTTTACTGTACTGATAATACTGCTTTACTGTACTGATAACAATGATGATAATAATAATAATAATGATATTGGATTATGAAGCATGGCCTGGAGATCCACATGTATGTGCATATAACAGTAGATAACATACAGTATACTATAATCTACATATATGTACATGTACATGTACATATACATGTATGTACATGTTCATGCACATGCAGTTGTATGATTCCTTTATTGTGGATGTCCTTTTTATGGAGGAATGATTTTATCATCACCATTACTCATTCCTTGTAACAGGAAACTTGTACCACACGTACTCATGCAGCTATTGCATGTACTGTAGGCCCAGCTATCATTATACACTGTACATATATTGCTATATCCTCTTAACATATTTCCTGTACCTGGTGGAGGAGGATGTAGGTATAATAGATAAGTACATTATGATGGATAAGTACATTATGATGGATAAGTACATTATGATAGATAAGTGGCTTATGATAGATAAGTGGCTTATCATTTGACTGAATTAGAGGTTACTGATGCAATTGTAGGTGCATGTGATTATAAAACTGTCAGTATAAAGTCATGCTTATTAGATAGGAGGATATAATCACACTATACTGTATTGGAGGGCATTATAGACCATTTATGTACATGCATGTACATACAGTGTGAATGTGTTGTTATTGTTTGTATGATGATGTACGTGTAGTGGGAATCACTCCCTCTCTCCCTCCTACCCATTGATTAATGAAATTAACACATGACATCGTCACTGTTACTATACACACACAGTCACACACACACCTACTTATAGAACTGTGCACTGTACTTGTACGTCATCATGCTGAAGCAATGTCCTATTGTGCACTCTGTTGAAATGTAGTTGTGATGTATATAGATATAATTATTATTATTATTATTAGGAGTGTTAAACCAAATAAAGAGTCACTGCTATTCCAGTAATGCAATCAATTACTCATGATTGTGTGTGTGCGTGTGTGTCCTATTGTATTGATGGCCCATTGTTATCACAGCCCCAGTGCATTCTTCCTGTTAGCTCTGACTAAGGGCTGCTGCTGGCCTTAAAGGGCAAACATTTCTTGTTGTTGTCCTTTTTAATAATAATAATAATAATAATTATTATTATTATTATTATTATTATTATTATTATATTGATAGCTTCATTACATCAGAGACTGCTAGTGTAGGATGAACCACTACCACTTATTGTAACAGTATAATAATAATAATAATAATAATAATAATAATAATAATAATAATAATATCTGTACAGTAATAATAACAGGAATGATAAGGTTTACATTAGATCATTTACATATGCCCCACACCTTTTAATTAAATACCATTGAATTGTTATTTAAAAGAACTGTCAGTATTAATTTTATTTATTCAATAGATATTACATTATTATTTGGTCGATGACACAGTTGAAGTTTGTGAGGTTCATGAACCAAACGATGGACGTGATCCATTCCCAGTCCTCCTCTGCAGACAAAGACTGCCCAAGGAAAGATGGAATGTCCCCTGTAAGCTCCAGTACTAGTACATGTACGTGTACATGTACACATACATGTACACGTACATGTACACATACATGTATAATATAATTGACATGCTTTCTCGTGCACCGATTGTATACATGCAATAATATAAACATACCATACATGTACATGTACATGTACTGTCTCTTAACATTGCAGGGGATTAGTTACTAATAGTTACTAATTATTATTGACAGCACTGGGACTGATTGAAGTGATTGATACATGTACCGTTGGCCTTTTATAGTGTGGGTATATTGCATCAGTTAGGACAGGGACAATTAAAGGTGTGAAATTCCTGTTGGCACATAATTCCCTAGCTATCCTATGATCCATAATAGTACTACCTGTAGCTGTACTTGTAGTCATGTGCTTGGTCATGTTCCTTTATCTCCTATTCCTGCTCACAAGATGAACCAATATTTGGATAATAATAATATTTATATGTACATAAATAAGACTGGAATGTGCACTTGATTATATAACACTGATTCTTCCTCTTTACAAAGACTAACAAAGGCTTGGTTCCTATTGCTACTCTAATGATAGCACTGTTACTATACATGTACTTCTATAGTGTCCTAATGTACTCCAGCCATGCACCTAACATGTACACACACACACACACACACACACACACACACACACACACACACACACACACACACACACACACACACACACAATACACTAATCATCATCATTATACCATTACACTAGTCACTACAGTATTAAGTTACTCATTGTGTCTATAAGTACATGTACTGCTTCTCTTTATGTATCATCAATTGTATATGTACACCTAGCTCCCTTTATAATGGACAAGAAAGGTAATTAGATTATTACTATTTGGTCTATCATAAGATCAGTTATTATGGTGACGCATATCAATAAGTGTTTGCTTGTACAGGTGTTAGCATTTCCTTTTATGGGCATTTATTTACATGTATATTGTATTGTTAATATTATTTTGTCTGTTTTTAATTTTGTTATTTTGCTAAAAACAGTTAATAGTGACAATGTGTTGTTTTTGTAAATAAAATTAAAGAAAGACAAAATAAGAATTGTTATTAATAAAACTAGTGTCATGGGTCTCTCTTGTCAAAAATAACTTTATAATTTCTTATGTTTTAGGCTGTGTAGGAAGCTTTAGAATCCTGGAGTTATGAGCACTTTTTAAAACTAGCAAATTTTTTTTTCCAAAAAATGGCTCCAAAATTATCCCAAATTTTTATTACATTTTTTTGATACATATTGATGTCCTTATGCTGTGTAGAAAATTTGAGTCAATTCTGATGAAAAATTTTTTGAGTTATGGCCATTTTTAAAAACTGGCCAATTTTTGAAAATTACCCAAGGCTATAGCCCATGGTTTTTTCCAAAAAGTGGCTCCAAAATCACCCCCAATTTTTATTACATTTTCTGATACATATTGATGTCCTTATGCTATGTAGAAAGTTTGAGGTAATTCTGACAAAAAATTTTTGAGTTATGACCATTTTAAAAAATGGGCCAATTTTTGAAAAATACCCAAGGCTATAGTCCATGGTTTTTTCTGAAAAATGGCTCCGAAATCACCCCAACTTTTTATTACATTTTCTGATACATATTGATGTCCTTATGCTATGTAGAAAGTTTGAGCTGATTCCGTGCACAAATTCTGGAGTTATGGCCATTTTTTAAAATGAGTTAATTTTTGAAAAATACCCAAGGCTATAGTCCATGGTTTTTTCTGAAAAATGGCTCCGAAATCACCCCAACTTTTTATTACATTTTCTGATACATATTGATGTCCTTATGCTGTGTAGAAAGTTTGAGCTGATTCCGTGCACAAATTCTGGAGTTATGGCCATTTTTAAAAATGAGCCAATTTTTGAAAATATTAGGGTATTATAGCCCATGGTTTTTTTTTTCAAAAAATGGCTCAGAAATCACTCCAAATTTTTATTTTCTTATAAAGTACAATAAAAATTTTTGGGCTATGATGTTGGCAAGTTGGTAATCATAACAATTAATATAATTCATATTTTTACAAAATGAATTTGGAAATATATTAAACAAAAAATGTATTTTCATGCAAATAATATTGAACAGAATTGAATTAAAGAAAGAGGGCGGGGCAGGTATATAATTAATAATAATTATGACAGAGAGAAAGAGAATAGTACTAACTTATTGATTGTGAAAAGGAGAGAGAAAGATAGGTAACAATAATGAAAAAAAAAGAAATGAAAAATGATAAAGTAGATGATGACTGTCAATGCTGTGGCTGCCAAAAATGACAATAATAATAATAATAATAATAATAATAATAATAATAATAATAATGTTATGTACATAGTTTTTATAATAATAATTTTAAACTAAAAATAAACAGCGTAAAAAGAAGAGAATAAACATCATTTTAAATAACACCAACAACAATGCCAATCTGCTGCTTTATCCCTCTCCCTCTTACAATAATACGTTTCCATGGTAACCTGTTGTCACGAAAACTGTAGCCGCGGTGACCGTTTAAAAAACTCGAAAGAGTGGGTTTGGTTGAGTGGTGGGTGTGTTGGCCGGTAACTGAGGCATTAGGGGAAGTCCCTGTGATAAATCATGAGCTATGCTACCCACTGGCTGCTGGTACGGCCAACTAAACGTATTACCAACGTGCAGCGAATGGGTGGGGTTTTCAATTGAATGAGTGGGCGGGGCTATGTGTAACGAGTGAGGATGACCGTCCAGTGAATGAGTGGGTGGAGCTATAGGTGGGGCTAAGTGTAATGAGTGAGTGGGTGGGTCCATTGAATTAATGGGCGGAGTTGAAGGACTGAGTGGGCGTGGTAATTGATGGATTACATTCGGGTGAGCGTGGTGAGATAATGGAGGCATGTGTATGCCATAAGAGGAGGAGGAAAGGGGCGGGGCTATCAAACGAGAGGAATGACCAGGAGAAGTGGACTGGAACCGAGACTGAGACGGCTGTCCGATCATGACAGTTTGGAAACCTTGAGGTGATGTGGGATGAACCAACATGGCCGCATGATTAACCAGCTGCTCTATACTAACTATACTGTCCTCCGTTAGACTTAGCATCGTCTGAGAGTCGGGGACCGTGGTTACCGTAGCAACCATATCGGCAGGGGGTCCCTGGATGGGATATTCATAACTCAATTTTAGTGAGGGGACTGGAGCAGACACCCCCCCAGTTCCTTCGATCGGGTTTTGAAGATGAGAAGATGAAGCTTCTGAGAAGGTGAAAACTGATTGGTCGGTTTGAGACGGAGAGAGAAGCTTAGCTCCACTGCCGTCCAGTGCTGATGCTGGGGTGCGAGGGGGCGGGGCTAAGGCAGTGGGCGGAGTCTGTACTTGAGTACACTGTGACATGTGCTCTGGCCAGTGAGACTGCTGACAGACGTCGTTACAATAATTAGCATTCCAACAGCAGTTGTACTGAGCCTCCTTAAAACAATAACTACACTGTAAAATGAGAGAGAGGGGGAGGGGGGAGAGAGAGGGGGAAAAGGGAGAGAGAGGGGAAGGGGAGAGAGAGGGGGAAAGGGAGAGAGAGAGAGGTTAATAAATTTGTTAAGGGGACACGTGCCATTGAGCACATGCAGGACAAAACAAAATGGCGCACAAAAAGAATTGCAAATTGAAAAAGTCACAATAAAGTACTTTATGTACTCTCAGTTGCTGCATGGCAGACACACAGCATAACTTACCCATTTCTTCTTCTTTGTTTCGAGTATCGCCAGCTCTTTCTCAGCCTCTGCTTGAGCTTTCACTTCAGCAATGACTTGCTGTCTCTCTATGTCAGCACTCGTACGGACCTAAACAACAAGATACTTTAAAGTGCCTTCAAAACCGGACCAAAGACCATGTACTGTAGTACAGGGTCTTTGGTCAAATTTTGCCAAAAATGACTAGGAGAAAATTCTTCATTTTAATAATATTTTCTGATAATACTTAAGGTTCTACATTAAATACTGTCTCTTACCACTTCCATTGATTTCTCCATTTCTTCTTTGAGTTCTTTCTTCAGTTTCTCCAGCTGTGATCTTGAGTCAGGTACAGGCCAGGCTGTGTGCAGGTGCTCCTTGATCTGTTTGGCGCCGGATTTGCCTTTTGATTCAAATATTGACAACATCTCTATGACAACAGTCTTGATAGATGACATTAACTAAAGACAAAGAGATGAAGTAATTTACAAGCTTTCACTCTCTCCCCTCCGTCTCTCTCTCTCTCCCCATCCCTCCCTCTCTCTCTCTTACTTTTTCTGAGAAGTACTGGTACCCCATGTCACTAGAAGACCCCACCATTCCGTCTAGTCTAGCGTTGTACGACTGGTCAATGGTTCTCATTGTATTAGCCAACAAACCTTCTCCGTAATTAACATAGCCACTCCCACCGCCACCACTGTTACCAGTAACCTCATCAGTTTCCATTACTCCTCCTCTCTGAATGCAGCTGGCGTATCCGTTTGTATCATAACCAGTTATTAAAGATGGTGTACCTTCGTAAGAATATGAGGGGATCTCGTTTTTCTTGTTTCGAAGTTTCCGAGATGATTTCTGAGGCGATACATCTCCACCTGCTCCTTTCTTCCGTTTCGGTTGTCTCTTAGCATTAGGGTCTACCACAGCAATCGCTCTCTTACCAGGTGGGTAGATACTACTGAAGGCAGTCTCCATATCCTCCTCACCGCCCTCATGGGCGGAGCTATCTCTAAGCTCAAGGGCTCTCTTTTCCGCTAGATTATGGGTTATTAGTGATAGGGCGTCACCTGGACGAGACTGGGAATTTGAACCACTGCTGGCCACGCCCCCTGAACTACGGTGATAGCTGGAAGGAGGATTAATAACTTGGGCGGAGTATTTTGAATTAAAGCTAAACACCTCCGGTCCCATCTTGTTGACCTTTTTGCTGCCCTTTAGCATCGATTTATTAGCTGAGGGAGCAACCCTTTTCCCCTTCCCCTCCTCCCTCTCTCCCAGGTCAATGGTAAGGCCACCAGCATCACTCCCAGGACTAGACGGCTCCGAGCAGTGACCGGAAGGTTCTGAAGATTGAGCGAAAGAAGCACTGTTACCATGAATAGTGCCGGACTCATCAGAGGATAACGGAGGGTTCACCACCACAATCTGAGGGGAACATGGAACGTGATTAGACACGTGATACGTAGGGGGCGGGGCTACTGATGACTCCCTGCTCTCTGACTCCGCCCTGTCGTTAGGGTACCCATTATGGCTGCTAGAGGGAGTAGGAGACACTGACATGTTCTGTTGGCTAGGGGTTGCTAGTCTATCCGACTTTTCTTTCTTCGGAGGACGAGGAATCTTAACTGCAGGCTCTCGTGGAGGAGCTGGTGGCGCTGGTTTCGAAGGTTCTGCCATTTTCTCGGCAATAAACTCATCAGGGGTTTTCCCTGTGTCGATGTACTTCAGCATGAGGTTAATGTTGTTCCTGTATTTGGAGAGTTCGTCCATAGCAATGGTCCAATGAGCAGTCTTTGTGGTTGGAGTGGGTGGGGGACCGTTGAGAGCTTGTATGCAGTTCCTCGGGACGAGGGAGCGATCGTGCTGTCCAAAGAACCTTACGTCACACTTATCTGAGGTCTCACTGATCAACTGAGGGAGGGAGAGAAGTTACGGTTTAAAAAGTACATGTGACTAAGCTTGGTCTGTCTCTTACTTTGGCTGGCCATAATGGATACCCTCGGACTTTAGCAAGTACAACTTTATGAGGAGGGTTCTGTTATAACAAAATAAAATAAAATATCATTCCTAAAATGTAAATGTACTATGCAGTGTGAGTGTGTGTATGTCTGGAGGTGAGTATCAGTAATGTAATACCTGAGTCCCTTGATATCTGCCCTCAGCTTCACCTCAAGCAGATATCTCAGTCCTCAGGTATTACATTACTAATACACACACACACACTCCTCTAGAGGGGCTGGTGACTACATGTACTACATATTCTTACACAAGGAATGCAGAACCAGTCATTTGGTTGTTTGACTGTTAATCCATAGCAACTGGGGCATAATTCAACTTCTCTCATCTTAAAAAATGAAAAATAAAGTAAAAGCAATATAAAAAATAAAGTAAAAGCAATAAAAATAATAAAAAGACTTACGTCTTCCTTGCATATCTTGACTATTCCCTTTGCAATCTTAGTCAGAGCGTGCTTACCTGTTGCATGATAATAATGAACAAGTGTAAATCAGGTAAGGTGATACTATTGACCAACTAACACATTCAACTATATAATCACTGTTAGATCTAGGTGGCCCCCAGTTTAGGAGACTTTTGGTCTCTCGTACTTAGCCCTAGGTGTCCTTAAGTCTACCATTTTTAGCTAGATTAGTCTCTCAAAATATTTATTTTTAGATCTATCAGTGATTATAAAACTCTCTCTCTCTCTCCTTCCCTAAGACCCTAACCTCCATTGTAAATGATACAGTTGTGGAGTATCCATTCTGTTTGGTGAAGAAACTCTCTCGTTGAATTATAGTACCCTGAGAGAACTCTCTATTAAACATTTAGAGGGATAAACAGTAAGCCACACCTACAAACCCAACCCACCTCTTTAATGATCCCCAGGTGCATTGGATGAAAGACGTATTCCCGATAATGACTAATGATGTCTTCTGGGATGTCTTTTTGAAATATTTCAGTCTATGAAGTAATAATAATAATAATAATAATAATAATAATAATAATAATAATAATAATAATATCTTACTCCTGGAAACATCATTCTGCTGATGGCCAGCTTCAACAGCTCCTTCAAGTTGTATGGTCTTGACCTCTTTGGCTTTCTTGAAATATTCTGAAATAGATTGAACAAACAAAAAGTGATAATGGTGATAATCATGTCAATAACTTGTACAGTTCTTTGATCTAGTGCCCTCCCTCTCCTCCCTCCCCCTCTCCCTCTCCTATGGTCCTACCTTACAAACTGGGCAGATCCATTCTTCGTCATCATCAGGTGCTTTAGCTAACCCAGAGCACTGAAGGTGAAATACTCTCGGACACTTATCGCAACACAATACCTCCCCTCCTTCATGGCAAACCCAACAGTAAGAGTCGTTCTTCGATATCTCCTGAAAGAACAGAGAAAACCAATACCATTGAAAACCCTTTGCCATAAAATACCTTCACCTGCTTCTCAAAAGAGTCTCCTCCTCCATCTTTGCTGGTGAGCTTCTTCTTCTTGAGGATAAGAACCAGCTTGCTAGGGAAGCTGCTACCATCACTGCCTTCTTCTCCAACTGTCGAACTGGTACTACACGCACATAAATAATAATAATAAAATAATGAAGAGTTCTTCTTTATGTAGTTATTCTTAATGGAGAGTTGTTTTTAATAATACACATTGTACTCGTGTATTAAAAACAACAACACAGTTATGATATATATACGGTATATGTTCTTATTTTAAAACAACAGCATCAGTAGAGTATTCATGGACTACCCCTCCACAATACAAAGTCTATAATGATATTCATAAGGTCACAATGGAGTGTGTGGTTAAGTCATACAGAGTAGTACAGGTTTGTGTGTGTGTACATGTATGTCCTTTTATGGAAAGGGATAAAGAGGAAGAAAGGGACATTCAATATGTACATGTAATCATGTCCCTCTCTCTCCTCTCCTCCTTTAAGAGGGAGAGAGAGGGAGGGGGGGGGAGAAAGAGAGACATGAGATTCATAATAAAACCATATCAAAACTAGTTGATCATGTACAACGCACGTTTCAAAAGAGACTCCATCTCCTTCGTGAGTAGTAGGACCATTGATTGAAGGAGGAAGAGGAGGAGGAGGAGGAGGGTTACTCGTCGCCCCCAAAGAAGTCATTGTCACCTGTCCCGTAGTACTGGGGGTGTCAGTTCCAGTGGACAAGGGGACCGAAGTTGGGGGCAAAGGTGCGTACCCACCTCCCGTACGACCGTTTGCGTTTATGACGGAATCCCTTTCCTCCGCTGTGCCGATGGACTCCATAATAGAGACTAATGTAAAAAAGGAAAGAAGAGAGAAAGAGAGGAGAGAATACTGACACAAATACGCTGGTATATGTCATTAATACAAACACAGAGCGCGGGGGAACGGGAGGCGTTGTTGGCCTCTGACAAAGCCTTACCCGAGCTTCTTTACAAGAAAGTGCGAGTTTATGAACTAATGTCCCTGTGAGTTCTGCTAAAATGGAGAAAGGAGGAAGGAGGGAGAGAGTGGCTCGGGTTATTAATGGGGGTTAGAAGTCGGCCACTATATCGCTCTGTAAATGAGGTAGGATTCAATTAAGAGGGCCACCCGCTCAAATTGAGACGGGCAAAAATATGCAGTCTTTTTGCAGATGCAGCAAAAAACAGAGAGAGAAGTCGGCCTCTCTTTTATTGCTGTTCTAGTGCAAAAAGAAGATAATTGAAAGGAGGATGGACTCCAGTGGTGGCATTTTATTGCTAGCTTTGCGAGTCTTGGCAAGGAAAGACAATAACAACAGCCTTCATAAAGCCCCGACGGACGGGAGGCTGGCAAAGAAGCTCTGAAAGACAGCTCTACACCCACCCCTGCTCTAAACTTTAAAAGATTTTGCAAGCGGCAAGTACCTGTGCTCAAACAGTAAGGGTTTATCTAGCAAGAGACATGTGAAAGAAGCTTTCTGGCCGTTCTTTAGTTGCAAACATCATGTTGCTGCATGCATTGGAGGCCGGGGGTGTGGCTATTTTGTATTTTGTACACGTGTACATTTACAAGTACATTTTGTAAAACCCCTTTGTCTTTACAGGATTCTCTTCTTCTCTCTCCCTCTTTCTCTAGGTTCATGGCGCTAGCAGCTTCAAGGCTGAGGAGGCCTAATGCCCGAGGAGATGGTCCGCCTGTCTTTAGTCACGAGTTTATAATACAGAACCACGCGGACATTGTGTCTTGTGTCTGTGTGGTCGTGTTCTTAGGTTTACTGCCACAGGTCAGTAATGGAAAGAGACTGAAATAGAGAGAGAGAGTAGAGAAAGGATGAACTACATTTAATGGCATTAATATTTTAGTGAATCTTTATATATTTGTTGGTGTTTTTAGGCTACTAATTCCATTGCCTCTAGATTCATTTTTTTACAATACAACGAAACAATGGAGATTAAAGAAAACGATACAGGTAGACTCCCTCCATCTTTATAACATCTTTTAACGGCACCTCTTTCTTTCCTTATAAGGAGTCGCATCATCCCGTATCGATAATAAACCAGCTCCGGTGACATTCTATCGCCATGGTTGGGGGGATGCTCTGAACGTTGTCTTCTACTCTTTGATTTGGATAATTATACATGCCATCATACAAGAATATATTTGGGAGGTAATTGTATTATATTATTATTATTATTATATTGTGGAATTGTGTGTTTTTCCCCTAACCATCTTCATTTCCTTGTTTATCTTATATTTCTCCCTTCTTCCTCTCCCCCCCTCTCTCTCTCCCTCCCTCTCTCTCCCTCCCCCTCTCTCTCTCTAGCGTACTGTAAAGCGTCTGAGGCTCTCAAAGACTAAAACCAGTAAGTATCTTGATTCCGGTAGTATGCTGGTCTTTTATGGGATTTCTCTTGTGATGGGCGTCGACCACATAATGAAAGTATGAATATGAATAAGTTAATTATTAATTAATTAATTATTATTATTATTATTAGGGGCAGTATGCTTTGAATTTTGGCAGTGAGTTATGGACTGGCTATCCTCATACTTTAATGAAGTAAATAATTAATTTATTATTATTATTATTATTATTATTATTAATAGGCTCTCACTCAAATTCTATATGCTCACACAGATGGCTTTCTGGCTGCACTGCTATCCTGAGCTGTATATTATGAAAACTAAGAAAGTAATGAACTACCTGATAGCATTCTGTTTCAACTTCATATGTACATGAATTATCACTGTTAGATCTAGAGGGAGTTTAGGAGACTTTTGGTCTCCCATATTTGGTCTAGGTCTCCTGAAATATCCCATTTTTAGGTTTTAGTTTTAGTCTCTCATATTTAGCCCTAGGTGCCCTTAAGTCTATCATTTTTAGTTAGATTGGTTTCTCAAAATTTATTTGTTGCATTTTACCATAATGTGTGTGTGTGTGTGTGTGTTCAATATTATGATTTGTTTGTTATTTTAGGATGATGCTTATTCGAAGATTGTTTTGTATACAGTTTCTTTTCTAATCATATTCTCAGCTTACGTGACATAGTAAGAGTTTCTTTATAAATACAACACTCTCTCTCTCTCCTCTCTCTCTCAGTCTTCAGAGGTTAGCAGTGGTCCTTCTTGTCATCCATTATATTGTTGAGTTTGTTTTCAATGCCTCCTGTCTACTCCATTATCACGGTAAAGATGAGATTGCTAAACTGAGGTAAGCTTTCATTCAATTGATTAAACTCCATCCTCTTTGTGTCTCCATTGTTCTTCCTGTATTGTTCTTTTAGTTTCAAGTTGTGGTGGTTCCTGTTTCTCTTGGCAAGGATAACGTCCATCATACTATCAGTGGTCACACTGTGGTCAGTCTATTATATCTATCAGATTGTTGGAGTAACTTTTAAAAATTCATAAAAAATCCAAACTTGATCCGAATCAACTCAAACTTTCTACACAACATAAGAACATGTATATGTATCAGATAAAATTATAAAAATGGATAATTCTCTACTTTTCATTTTTGACAAAATTTGGCCTGAGACAATGTACTATAGTACAGGGACTTTGGCCTGATTTTGGAGCAACTTTAAAAATTCATAAAAAATCCAAACTTGATCAGAATCAGCTCAAACTTTCTACACAACATAAGAACATGTATATGCATCAGATAAAATTATTAAAATGGAGAATTCTCTAATTTTAATTTTTGGCAAAATTTGGCCTGAGACCATGTACTATAGTACAGGGACTTTGGCCTGATTTTGGAGTAACTTTTAAAATTCATAAATCTATGCTTATTATTATTATTATTATTATTATTAGGTTTGGTATAAATGAAGCTAACGGTCCTGTACTTTTGTTCAATATTAATCTGACGAGCGTTCCTGTACGTATGTCCATTCTTCTGTTCATCGTCTCTCTCCAGGTGTGGCTCCTACTGGTACTGTACAAGCATAGGAGGAAGGGGAAGTCTGAAACCACACCTACTCCTGCCCCGCCCACAAAGAAGCCTAAGCCAAAGCCGTCTCCTCGATCAAACAAAAACAAGAAAGAATAAGGCGTCCAATAGGATTTCAGTTGCTATAGGAACTACTATTGATTATTATAATAATAACTGCTATAAAAATAGTTCTTTTATTTTTCTGACTTCCATCTTTCTTCAATTATTAAATAGCATTAATAATGACACCTTTATAATGAGGACATTTTGTAATGTCCCAAAAGTACCTCTGAAATGAGGACACCTCTGTATTAAAGTGTCCTTAATAAAGAGGCTACACTGTACATGTATTAAGGACAGGTAGTGTGGGCCCAATGGTGTCCTTAATAAAGAGGCTACAGTAAAAAACGTGAGATTAGCTCTTCAATAATGAGATACCATCATTATAATATATTACAAGAGAAAATGAGAGACAAACTCCATCATAACTTGAGTGTGTGTGTGTGTAGGGTTTAACATGGGAGAGAAAGAGAGAGAGAGTCAAGAAAAGTAAAAAAAAGATTTCACCTGTCATACAAAAAATGTGAAAAATGAGCAGTTTAAAACACAACACAACACAACAGCTGTTAGTAATACAGCAACATACTGCCACACCCCCCGGATGTTATATATTTACATATCAGTTTGTTATGGTGAGACGTTAATTAGAATAGCAATAACCACACCCCATCCTTTCATCACTCGTTATCGCTGGAACTGGAACTGCTAGAGGATCCTTGGCTGGAGAGATTTCTCTTGTTCTGGGCCACAAGACTTGAAGAATTGGTTGGGTTGTTGGTTGAAGAGCGGGTGTGGTAGGGGGCAAAGAAAGAATGTTTGAGAGCTTCAGAGGCTGTCATTCTCTTTCTTGGCTCATATGTGAGTAGCTGTGTGATGAGGTCAAATAAATGTTCGTGTTCTGGTTCAGCTGAAAGAATGTACCGCTGGAGGAGGAGGAGGAGGAGGAGGAGGAGGAGGAGGAGGAGGAGGAGGAGGGGAGAGTTTGGGGAAAAGATGAAAAAGGAAGTAGGAAAGAGTGGTAAAGAAAAAAACAGACACAAATAATGTACAACATATTAATAAAGCTATAAATTGATTTTAAAGAGAATTGGCATAGTATATACAATTCCTAAATGTGCTTTAATTAGAAATCCCAAAAGTGCACTCTAATTAGAAATCCCAAGAGTGTGCTTTAATTAGAAATCCCAAGAGTGTGCTTTAATTAGAAACTAACTTTAAGTTTCCTGCAGTGTTCTCTTATGTAGCGTCCGTCAGGACTCTCAGGGTCCCAGTCCAACTTCCCGTGCCAGAAGTACTTGCTCTTCCTGCTCTCCCTCACGAACCTGACAGGGAGCGGGCCCAGGATAGTCTCCATCATTGCTAGGTGCTCAAGATTATCGTGGGTCTGAAAGAGGGTGTGGCCTCGATACAGCTCAAACATTATACACCCGACGCTCCACATGTCACAAGGATGGGACCATCCTAATTCTACGAGAGGAGAAAAGAGGCATTAAATAGAAACTCGGTACACATACAAGACACGTTGGTACACAAGTACTTACCAAGGATTACTTCAGGGGCCCTATAGTGTCTTGTTGATACCACAGTGCTGTGATGTTCATCGTCAAAGGTAGCTGAACCAAAATCTATCAATCTCACGTCAGTCGATTTCACAACTCGAATGTCCTGTTTCTGAAAATAAAAGAAATGCAGTGATATTCAAAATATTTAACAAATTGTACTACCAGAATGTCATAACACATTTTTACTAACAGTAAATAGTGTCACTTTAATTCTTCCTCCCCCCCTCTCTCTCTCTCTTACTTTTCTTGCGTCGTAGTACATGTCGTAGTCAGAGCTGACAAAAAGGATATTCTCAGGCTTAAGGTCAGTGTGTGTCAGTCTTGTCTGATGTAAATCTACAATAAATAAATAAATATAAATAATTGTTATAAATTTCCTGATAGTCCAAGCAGGTATAATGTAAATAACAAATTGACAGCAGACTAATTACGAAGAGTGCAAGAGTCAATATTTATATTTATTTGTTGTTTTTGTGAGTGTGACGTCAGGTAAACATACATCGGACTGCTTTTATGAGCTGCCAAGAAATATGTCTGACTTGTGACAAAGAGTAAGGGTGATAGTTATTGTCTTTCTGCAGAGAGAGAGAGAGAGAGGGAGGGATAAAAAGGGGGAGAGAGAGAGAGAGAAAAAAAAACATGTAATGACACAGATGAATAACACAGATAAAGAGGGAACTGTCAAGCAAATAGGACATCTGTAGCCATTATGTTGCAATCATATTGTATCCAATATACATGAACTGTATAGTATACTAATTGTTTACCAGGAAATCAAAGACACTCAGTCCAAGCATATCGAAAGTGAGTGAGATGTGACCATAATAATCAAACCAGTCTCTGAGCTGGACACATAGCCTATAGGGAAAGAGGGGGAGGGAGAGAAAGACATAAGGTCTCTTCATTCCTTCATATCTCTCTTACTCTTGTCCATCTTCAACTATGTCTCTGATTTGTTCAAGGACACGTATCTCTATCCGTGCAGCTGCCCTGTACTTGGGGACATTCTTAATTATCTTTACGGCAACATCCTTGCCAGTTAACCTGAGGCAATAAAAAGTAATGACACACAAAGGACATAGTAAAGACAGTGACACACATAAAGTATATGAAGATGATAGAAAGGAAGAAGACGAGATAGTTCATATAATCATTATAAGATTGCTAAATAAATTTTAGAAGATCAATCTAACTAAAAATGGTAGACTTAAGGGCACCTAGGGCTAAATATGAGAGACTAAAACTAAAACCTAAAAATGGGATATTTTAGGAGACCAAGACCAAATATGGGAGACCAAAAGTCTCCTAAACTCCCTCTAGATCTAACGGCTGGGGGTGGGTGGCTGGTTCTAGATGATAAGGAAACTGGAACAAGTAGATTGTGTAGTATAAACTCACCATGAACAGGATAAAGTCATTATGGGACAAGGTTGTTGTCAAAAGTGTGCCTTAACCACAAAAATAAATCACATTACAACTAGCAACACAAGAATCCTTTCAACAGGTAAACCACAGCCCATGTACACACACATCATCACTATATGATATTATTATTATTATTATTTAGGACTACTATATTAGGATAAATAATAATTATTATAATCCTAATACAGTAGCTATAAGGAAAGAGTGCGATGACAGTTTTTAAGTCATTCTGCTAGCAGTAGTACAGTTAATTTATATAATTCCTTTTTAATAAAGTCAGAGTGCCAGCTCCTTTCAACATGTGTACATGATGTGTATTGGCAATATAGAGAGTAGCCAATTTGTACATGATTTGTAAGCAATGTCAAAATACATGAGAGCTACTGTGTGTCTTAATCATTTACTACTGCACCTGTCCTTAATACAGAGGTGTCCTCATTTCAGAGGTAATTTTTTTATAGGCTTGTACCAATTGGGACATTATAAAATGTCATTTTATAAAGGTGTCCTTATTATAAAGGTGTCCCGATTATAAAGACAGTAAATGAGCTGATAAGCAGTTGTTTATTCATTAGTATAGTAACAGATATTACTACTCCACTACAAGCAGGAGCATGTGTACATGTACATGTACACAGTATATATTAAAGCAATAGTGAGACTGGTACTATCAGACACCACAAACCCCTACAAATTATACTATTCCCAGGATTCACTATCACCACTCAATAAATATACTATCAACATAATACACATGTAGTACAGTATTATAGAGGGAGGCTTATACTAACTAGTACATATGCTGTACATTTATTGGGTTTCTGTCCTTCACATGAGTAGGTTGATATAATTATACTTGATGGAGTCCTCAAGGCTTTTGAGAGTAAGTGATAGTGTGTGTATGTGTGGACACATTGAACTAGCCAACCAGAAAGTGATGGCTTGTATACAAACAATTGAATTGAAATTGATTAAGAGAAAGGGAGGGAGAGGAGGGGAGAGAGAGAGGAAGAATAGAGTGGGCAGGTAGAGGAGACACAAAGGAAATAAGAGACAAAACTGTGTATGGAGTGACTCCTCTATTGGTGGAGTCTAACAATGAGAGACAGGAACAATAGACTATACAGCTAGTCACATTAACCAAGAATTTATTAAATAAATAAAGTCAATACAGAACACAAACAGACATGCCTAAAGACAAAATTAATCCACCACTATAGGCCCACAAACACAATAAGGGAACATACACACACGTACACACACACACACACACACACAATGTCAAATTTAATATTCCCCTAATAGTATGATATGACAGTGAAGGAGGATATGTAGTGTACTTGGTTTAAAAGGATACATCATGTTGTACAGAAACCTTTAGCATCAACATTTACAAGGAAAATAAGAGACAAAATTATTATACATAGGGAGGAAAGAGAGAGAGAAAGAGATAACAAAAGGATTCATGATAGTAATCATTTATAAGGTTTTAACAAAAGACCCATAAAAGGATTAACTAGTAACTATCAGGCACAACACACACACACTACACTCGTGACAGATACACAAATGTAGCAGTGAGACTTAAACCAATTTAATAACAATTCTCAGATGGTTAGGATAAAGGACAAGAGGGAGACGGGCTGGGACAGAACAGGTGTTGCTCAGCAAGAAACACAACTTGTTGATTGTAGACTTTAACTATTACAACAGACTAGGACACATCTCACGTAAAAGCAATAGCTACATAAACACACACACACTGACTTCACTATTGATCATAATGGATGAAGAAGAGGCAACTGATTACACAGGAGATAGAGAAAACAATAATAATTAAAGTTATTTTAACACCTCGCTCAAAAGAAACAATTATACCGTGCTCTTTGAAATGACAAGTAGAAGGTGAGAGAAATATTAGATAAAAAAAACACATCAATGTCTATACATGTATGTATGTCTACATGTACTTCTTTAGATACAAGTACATGTATACAAGTACATGTATATGGCTATGTACATGTACACAATGGCTGGGTTCCAATACATGTAGTAAAACTGATATGGATTCTTTACTATCACTAACCTATCATGACAACAGACGACTTTACCAAATGTTCCTTCGCCTAATGTTCTTAAAACTTCATCTAGGGAGAGAGAGAGAGAGTGAAGGAGAGAGTGAGAGAGAGTGAATGAGAGAGAGGAGATAGAATATCCATTATTTCAGTAGTATAGAGATAAGAGGTGCTTTGATGATAAACATAATGTATTGTATAACATTTGGGAGGGAACTAGACCTAACCACAACCAAAACCAGCAACACTAATAAAGAACACCTGCCACTAAAGTACACAGCACACCTGTCATTAGTAATAGGTCTCACTCTCTTCTAGACATCATTATTATCAACATTGTACAGTACATGTACATGTATTTCTTATTATAGAGACTTGGATCAAATGTGATGCAAAGTAAACATTGGGTGGTGTGAAGAAGAAGTAGCATCAACAAAATATCAGTCATTCTCTCCTTATGAAAGTAATCACACTTTACCACCATACCCTTCTCTCTCTCTCTCTCTTTGTAACTTACATCTTGAGTCCAAATAATCTCCTTTCTTATAGATCAAGTGCCCATCTTCATCATCCTCCACTTTAGCAGGTGTTATTGGAGGTGGAACTCTGTGAACTTCATCCTTCTCTTTTCTTGACGAAGAAGACTGATGGGACTCTTTATCTTTTACCGACTGTTTTTTACTGCTCCCAACGACCATCTTAAAACCTCTAGGTTTCTTCTTAGATGATGATGACGACGATGATGATGAGGAAGGTAAAATGGCATCTTTGCTTGGTAGTGGCTGCATTGGGAGAGAAGTTGAAAGAGAAGAGAGTGAGGAGCTTTTCTTTTTATCGCTGACCCCATCAGCATTTCCACGGACACACATGGTTGTAAGCATTTTAACAATCCCTCTATCTTCAATTTCACTATCAAGCACTGGGTAGTGACTGGTCTCTTCAAACCGTTTACTAGATTCTGTACTAATGGTGGCTAGCCCTGCCGTCTTGTCTTCCCTATATACAGCCTGCCCCTGCCTTAGCTGATAAATGACGCCTTTCTCTGGGTTATTTTACAGTCTTTCGCCCCGTCTCTCTATCTAGTCATCCAAGCGTATCCGACCTCGTGTGCTCTTAGCATTCAGCTACTGCCGATTCTTGTAGGACAGGGTCTTGGTTTTTCTTCACTGGATCAGTCAAACTAAGCGCTGGGGAGATGCGCCCCTAGCTTTATATACCTACCATAACACTTTGCTTCTCCTTTTGTCAGCTCTAGAGAAAGGGACAGGATATTATCACTTCTCGCCCACGAGGTCGGGGAGTATACTGGATGACTAGAAGTTTACGGGGATATACGGTGAGAAACATTTTTGAATCTCGCGCCTATCGACACCACCCACTGGTTTTCTACACTTTTTATAATTTAAAATATCTTTCTATTTATTTATTTATTTACTAACGTGAAAACAAAATTATCATCAAGCAAACAAAATGGTGACTACTAATAATACTTACCTTTCTCTGGTGAGATGATTCACTCCTCATAGCTTTCCTAACTTTTCCGAATTCTTCCGAGACGCATTCCGCAAGTTCTCTCTTCCTCTTCCTCTCCCTCTGCTGCTGGGAGGCATTACTGCAATTACTGGAGTAGCGGATACTTGTGGATTTAGACCCAGAGTAATGCCTACCATACAGCTCTGATGAGAGGGAGTAGTGATATGTATTGTTCTTGTCAGTTGGTATCGATTTTGCTCCATTTTTCGCGTGAAATGAAGAATGATAAGAGACAGAGAGGGAGTGAGCGTCACGAGTGTGGTAGCCATTACAGTCCCGACGAAGACGCTTCGGGTAGCGTCCAAATCCAAAAGTGCTTTCATCTTCTCTCCTTCTCTTGTAGTTAGACATCTTTATTTTATTTTATTATTATTATTGTAATATATTCTATTGCGATAGAGTATCTTCTTTTAGAAATAATATATATAGCGTAGACTAGTACTTAAAAATCTCTTAAGTTAATATAATATCGGTGATTTTAAAATGCTAAAAATTTGTTTCTAGAAAGAGAGAGAGAGAAATGTCAAGATAGTTGACACTTTCCATGTATGGAGAGCGTGCCTTAAGGAAAGGATTGTGTGCTAATGGATTGTTGTTAATGAGAGATAAAGAGAGAGTGACATACACAGAGTCAAACATGAAAACACAGAAACACTTTAAAAATCATTAAATTGCACAAAAGTATCAGCCCCACCCCTCTTTCCACACCTACCTTGATAACAATAGGACTAATTTCTCTTATATATATGACTCTAAGGTACTGTAGTAACTAATAGACTGGAGAAACGGCCTCTTCCTCTCTCTCTTTCTCTGATTTCTCCTAATAATCTCTCACCTCCAGATTCTTCGTAGGCGCCATTTTCTTTTAGTGAGATCACGTGATCCTTCAATTCAAAACTTCAAATTCTAACTGGCCCCTCCCCCTTTTGATTAAAGACAAAATGGCGGCTCTCAGGGGATTCACTTTAGCCAAAATTTCCAGGATAACTGTTGAATTCTCTTGCTTTGATGGGACAGTGGGCTCAGCCAGGTCTGTAGCAGTCTGAAAAATTTATATTTTGTGCATTTAGATCTAGTTTAATAGTAATTTACACTGAAATAATTACAAGTACATGTCTTGTCATGTGTAGAGCTTTACTGGACAGAATCAGCTCATCAAAGATAAAAAGTACAAATCCAAAATGTCAAGTGACGTCTGTTGTCAAGGGAGACTACAGCGCTCCTTTTGTGGGCGTTAAATTTGGTAAGAGAGTTATAGAAATTTATAGATCTGTATTATGTTTTCTTTATCTTTGTACCATAATCTCTCTCTCTCTTCCCTTGTCTCTCCTTCTTACAGTTGATGGGAGCGAAATGAGTTTTAATCCACGGCACCACAACTTGCTCTCAATCATAAAGACCCTAAATGCTAAAACTAAAGCCATCCAAACCTAACCAACAATTGATCAGCTAAACATTATATACCTCATTATAACATATGAACCATCCCAATCACCACACTGTGTACAATTACTGTTAGCTAATCATGAACTACTGTATTATTAATTATATAATTAAAAGTCACTCTCTGTGTTAGTTAAATAAGTGATGTTGTAGTTTATTGTGTTTAGTTGTTGTACTAGTACAATAATGGGTCTTGTTCTCAGGGTTGTAGTTCCTTTTCATCACTTGAACTCTCAAAACTAGCAACTACTTCATCAGGAAATTCGTCTGGTCTTTCTTTCATGTATTTCAGTACCAGTTGATCGGCTCCAGTGATCACAAACTGGTGTTTGAATGCTTCTATGGTCTCTCCTATTCGGAAGTCCTTAGGTGCATAATAAATGGGTTCTTCAGCTGTGGAGTTTGGCTTTGATACACGAGTCCTTTCTAGAAACTGTCCACCTCGAATACCAGAATTACTGCATAATAACAAGATAAAATAAATAATAATAATAACAATAAGACAGTAGAATTTTCATTCAGTGTATAGCCTCTTTATTAAGGATACCCTCATTATAAAGGTTCAATATAAATTGTATGTTAGATCTACAGTTGCTATTGTGGATTGTACTGGTTTACTACTGGCCCGAAGACAAAAGAGAGAGAGACTAAAGAGGATGTTATTGACCCAGTGAACATTAAACCAGACAATAATATACTGCAGTTGGCAGCTTTGGCTTAGTTCACAAGAATTCTATCAATAACAACAATAGTATTATTACTATTATTATTACTATTATTATTACCATTATTATTACTATCACTATTACTATGATATTGCAGGCTACGTGACACTGCACTCTTGTTCAAAGTTGATCAGTAATTCACAAGATGGTATATTTACTATCGCCAAGTTCTGATGCGCTGCTGCTGGATATTATCAAATGAATAGTGGCACTTTGAAGTGCCGGAGTGTAATCCAACCTCTGCTGTAGTAAACTAGCACTAAAGGTACATGTGTCAGTAATAAAGGACTACATACCATAAGAATATTACATTTTATTTTCTCTTTTGCTCTTTTTCACTTCATCACATCCTTAATTCTCTCTACTTGTATTGTGCATGAATTTGTAGCTTTTATTTATTTATTAATTTTATTAATTATTAGAGTGTATTGGCAGTAGTTGATGATCCTTGACACATTTCAACTGCCAAATTAAAGGGGAAGTATGTCTGCCACCTCTCAAGCTAAGAAAACAAACTACGAGCATATACATGTACATGTACACAATACATGTACATGTACATCATAGCATCAAGCAGTAATACATGTACGTGTATACATGTAACAGGCATTGGATGAAGTAACTGTGTGTGGATGTAGTTCACTTTATAAAGTGGCTAACCGTTGTGGTGGTTCATAGATGCTGATGGAATCGTCTGAGAGCCAAAAAGACAAAATGAACCTTCTATTCTCATCGATAGGGTTGGATGAGTTCTGTGTAACAAAATCATATAAAAAGTGACACTAGAATGATGCAATGAATAATTGTTTCTATAATGTATTGTGTACATTTTTGTCATTTTTTGTGATTACATTTCTTACCAGTGTGGCTGAGTATCTCAATATCTTTCCATCATTCTCCAACATTTTAATAAAGTCCTTCTTTGGAGGCTGTGGTATAAGAGAAAAGCAAGACTGCTTGCTGTCCTCAAGTGATCCAAACCCGTTGTATGGAGGCAGAGGCTGAGAGAGAGAGAGAGTGAAAGGGATTGAATAATAAAAATAAATCTATCTGGTACATGTGCATCTGTACCAAACTTGTACGTTTATTTAAGTGTACATGTACTTTTAATTCAGAACTAGTACATGTACATGTACACATAATAGCTATGGACAGTCTTACAATTGTAGCTGCAATATCTCCCCCTCTCTCAGCTCATGTGAGTGTTGCCTAATAAAGACTAAAGTGTTAGACACATCACCCATTCATGTGTCTCATCCACCCATTCACACAGTCAATACACACACTCTATCACTGGCTCTCAGTCAATAATAACATGTTCCGTTAAGATAGGATTTTCCCATGAGTCATTGTGGGCAGGACGTAAGCTACAAAGTGACTAAACTGACTATAGACTGCTGACAGTTGCTACAATAATGCACCATCAACAATACATGTATACAAAATCATTCAATGAACATAGCCATTCTTATATTGTGTAGGAAGTTTGAGTTGATTCCGATCAAGTTCGGATTTTTTATGAATTTTTAAAGTTGCTCAAAAAATTTTTCCAAAAATGAAAAGTAGAGAATTCTCCAGTTTTATAATTTTTTTTCTGATACATATACATGTTCTTATGTTGTGTATAAAGTTTGAACTGATTCCGATCAAGTTCAATTTTTTTTACAAATTTTAAAGTTGCTCAAAAATTGGGTCAAAGTCCCTGTACTATAGTACAGGGACTTTGGGTCAAATTTCATCAAAAATGGCTAGGATATTTATATGTATTCCATATTACATGTATTTTGAGGTGCAACTTATTACTCGTCTTACCGGTTTGACTGGTTGAGGTGGAGGTCTTTCTACAGAGATACTCTGTGGTTGTTCCATATTCAATTTCTCTTTATAATAATAACGAGTAAATTGATCACAATCATACCTACAGTATGAATTATTATTACTGGCTTCAATTAATATGCACATTAATTATTATTACTATTATTATTATTTATACTTACAATTACATATACATATCATTTCATGTACAGTGTACATGTACATGTACATGTACATGTACCGCTTAGTTTTTATTAGCTATTTTGTGTAGAGTATAAGTTTAAAGCAATTTCAGTATTACATGTACATGTACATGTACATGTACATGTACATGTACATGTACATGTATGCCAAATTATTATTGGCCGAGTTAGATTCTGGCAAACTTTCAATTATTATTATGACAATGTTTACAAGCCAGAGGATTAGTCTTAATTTACTAAAAAGTATAAATTTAATTATCAGTCAGAGAAGACCATAGAAATCCCTTAGAATCAACAAAGGATATAATGATTACTGTATAACATAAACTTTATTCTCTAATAAGAGTCTTTATTTACAAACATTTAGTATTCTGCATGATGAAAAAGTAAGCTATAGAGAGTGTCCATTAAGAGAGGCTATACTATACATGTACATGTACTTGTGCTTCACTTACACAAAGAATTTCCTACTGCTTATGATGACAGTCTTGCCAATGATGAGGTCAGGGGGGCTGATCCAGTCTTTAATCTCATCCTCTGATAATTCAAGAACTGATGAAGGGAAGTGAGCTATACACACAGGAAGAGGAGAGGGAGAGGGAGGGAGGGAGGGAGGGAGAATATTAATTGTCTGTGATTGAGGATGTAACATATGAAACCCAACAATGACAAGAGAACTACAAAGTGAAGGATTACTGGGAAAGAATGAAGCGTGCAATGACTTTAGAGGATGTGATATGATGTTAGTTGGTAACTGTGATCACTTGTGCTGTTGGCATACATGCACTGATAAACAATGGACACGCACAGTACACCTGACGTTGTGATGTTGTGACGTATATAAGAGTACAAACACACAGTTAGAGTAGAACAAACAAAATATAAAAATTAATTTTGTTGTTGCAATTTGGCAATCAGGATTACATGTACATCAAACTTTCTACATAGTATAAGGACATCAATATGTATTAGAAAATGTAATAAAAATTTGGGGTGATTTCGGAGTCTTTTTAAAGGAAAAACCATGGGCTATAGCCTTGGGTATTTTTCAAAAATTGGCTTGTTTTTTAAAATGGTCATAACTAAAAAAATTTGAGCTCGGAATCACCTCAAACTTTCTACATAGTATAAGGACACCAATATGTATCAGAAAATGTAATAAAAATTTGGGGTGATTTCGGAGCCATTTTTTGAAAAAACCCATGGGCTATAGCCTTGGGTATTTTTCAAAAATTGGCCCGTTTTTTAAAATGGTTATAACTCAAAAATTTTTTTGTCGGAATCACCTCAAACTTTCTACATAGCATAAGGACATCAATATGTATCAGAAAATGTAATAAAAATTGGGAGTGATTTCGGAGCTATTTTTTGGAAAAAACCATGGGCTATAGCCTTGGGTATTTTTCAAAAATTGGCTTGTTTTTTAAAATGGCCATGACTCAAAAATTTGAGCTCAGAATCAGCTCAAACTTTCTACATAGTGTAAGGACATCAATATGTATCAGAAAATGTAATAAAAATTTGGGGTGATTTCGGAGCCATTCTTGGAAAAAACCATGGGCTATAGCCTTGGGTATTTTTTAAAATTGGCCTATTTTTTAAAATGGCCGTAACTCAAAAATTTTTTATCGGAATTGACTCAAACTTTCTACATAGCATAAGGACATCAATATGTATCAGAAAATGTAATAAAAAGTTGGGGGTGATTTTGGAGCCATTTTTCAGAAAAAACCATGGGCTATAGCCTTGGGTATTTTTCAAAAATTGGCTTGTTTTTTAAAATGGCCGTAACTCAAAAATTTTTCATCGGAATTGACTCAAACTTTCTACATAGCATAAGGACATCAATATGTATCAGAAAATGTAATAAAAAGTTGGGGTGATTTCGGAGCCATTTTTCAGAAAAAACCATGGGCTATAGCCTTGGGTAATTTTCAAAAATTGGCCAGTTTTTTTTAAATGGCCGTAACTCAAAAATTTTTTATCAGAATTGACTCAAACTTTCTACATAGCATAAGGACATCAATATGTATCAGAAAATGTAATAAAAATTTGGGGTGATTTCGGACCCATTTTTTGGAAAAAACCATGGGCTATAGCCTTGGATATTTTTCAAAAATTAGCTCATTTTTTAAAATGGCTGTAACTCCAGAATTTGAGCTCGGAATTAGCTCAAACTTTCTACACAGCATAAGGGCATCAATATGTATCAGAAAATGTAATAAAAAGTTGAGGTGATTTCGAAGCCATTTTTCAGAAAAACTATGGTCCATACTATAGACTTTGGTATTTTTTCAAAAAGAGGATCATTTTCAAGTGGCCATAACTTGTAAATTCTTTGCCAAAATCAGCTCAAACTTTCTGGACACAATGATACATTCATCAAATCAATTCAGTAGCTATAAACTGATAATCAATAAAATTTGTTAAACATAAAGAGCTTTAAGCAATAGCTGTTGAGTGCATCCATTAAAGCATCAGTCCATCATTGCCAACTAAAGAAATGAATTAATTAAAAAATGTAAAAATTATTAAATAAAATTAAACTTTATTACCAAATCTTCATCTTCTTCCTCTTCAACTTTATTGTCAACAGGAGCCACAGTGTCAACATCTTCACTCAGAAACTAACAACAACAACAAGAATAATAACAACAACAACAATAACAACAATAGTAACAACAATAATATGGTGTCGTTAATATATTGCATCTTTACTTTATCAGACAGTTCTTGACTGACGTTGCTCTTGTCACATTCGCTGGACGTTATGAGGGATAGGCTTTCTTTGACCATCTCGTCCCAGAATGAAGAGTAGCGGGTTCCAATCAGTTCCTCTTTCAACCTTTTCAAATACTCATTGAAACCAGCTGGAGCTGAGGCCTACAAGAGAAAAAGAGAACAAGAAAAAAATACTTTTAAAACAAGAAGTATAAGCAGCCAAATATTGTATGATAATGTTTAATGAACTATTTGATCTTTCTTCTGACGGAGGCCTCACTTGAATGGCTTCAGCTCTCATTGTTCTAATGCAGTTCATTGCTTTGGAGTACATGACGTCGCCCAGCGATCCTTTAATTAACCGGAATATAACCTCTTCCAGCTGCTTAGTGGCTACAAGAGAGAGAGAGAGGGAGAGGGAAATACGAAGGGGCTATACTAAAATACTAGATTTGTTGTAGTCCGACCAAAATCAGGCCAAAGTCCCTGTACTATAGTACAGGGTTTCTGACCAAATTTTGCCAAAAATGAAAATGAGAAAATCCTCCATTTTTATTACATTTCCTGATGCATATACACTATGTTGCGTAGGTTTGGTTTAAATTACCTTTATCAAAAGTATCGCTGTTATTTTGAATCATTTTCTTATAGTCCCCAACAGGATCCACAGTGCCAACCTACACCAATCACATCACATGACAGTCACATGATTATGACACGCCCACACCTCGTTAACTTCACCCTTGGCTAGCGAGGCAATGCTGAAATCAGTCTCGTCAGTTTTGGAACGTTTTGAAGAAGGCAAGTCATTGTCGTCACCTTCTGCTCCATCTTTAGCATCTAAATTAATGTCAGTACTGGAGAGAAACATATGAACATGGCAGGAACAGAACTCTCTCCCTCCCACTCTCACCTCTTCTTCCATACATTGGTCACTGCTGTTTTGTCTTTATTTTTGTCATCAATTCTTGTCAATGGAAACACTTTCTACACAACAAAATAATAAAATAAAATAATAATTATATTTAAAAATACTCAAACTTACCTTTACTTTCAATACAGATGAGGAACATTGGCTCAACAGAGCTGGACTGGGATTTAAACATCTAAAAAAATAATGACGACACATTGTTACTATATTTAGAATCATGTTGCTATATTTAGAATACCTTTCCAGTGCTGGTTCTAAAGGTGGCAAAGGATCATCAGGATTGAGAGACCTGTGCTCCAAACACTACAATACATCATAATGACATCATCTTTAACACCTTCTATTTATAGAATAACCTGAAATGTTCTCTGAAAGAGAGGATTCTTGATTTCCTTTGTATTAAAATCATCGCTGAAATTAATGAATATTTCATTATTATTATTATTATTATTATTATTATTAATTACTCTAATTCCATGTTATTAATTAATTCATCTACAGCTGTCAATTGTTCATCTGGCGAAAGGAAAGAGAGGGAGAGAGAGGTAGGCTATTACCAGCAGCTATACATGTACATGCATTACCTGATGGCTCTAGTTTTGGGTGGGACAACGAAGCAAATGAAAACTGTCTGAGGTCTTCCATATAAGGCAACTGGACAACGAACAAACACTAAAAAAATATATTAATCACAAACCACACCTACGGTCCCACCCACTTCATAATTAGGTTTTATGTGAGGTACTAGAGCACAGAGTCTTGGACTGGCGTTATTGCGAAATACGTAGCGAGCGATTCCGGCCATGTCCATTTCATAAAGAGCACGGATAATGGCCGAGAGGGAGACAGCAGAGGGCTAGGGGGAGGTTTAGGGGCGGAGTTAAGTGGGAGGAGTCATATATTAATTACTTCACTGTCCGGGTTAGCAATTAGGACTTGAACTGAAGAACCTACCAATAACTCCTGCCGAACCTAATAATAATAATAATAATAATAATAATAATAATAATAATAATAATAATAATAATAATAAATACATGTAAATAATTGATAATAATAATAATAATAATAATGAATACTTTGTTTCTTGATGTGAATCCCAGTAACGAGAGACACTTGCTAGCCGATAGTTTCATATTATCGTCGTCTTCTGATGAAACCGGAATGAGACTCCTACCATACCGGTAACCTATGAAGAAGAACAGACTAAGCTAACATGAAATTTGTGCAAAAAAATAACTAAAGAGCTTAACTACAAAAGAGAGAGAGAGGGAGTAAAGGTGATAGCAATCCTGACCTTTAATAGTATCAGAGAGGTCCACTTCAGTTTCATCTTCATCCTGTAAGTGGTAGCTCCTCTCCAAATTAATAGCCATTGTCCCTGGATTAGCTGAGGACTGACTAATGGCTGACAGCTTCTTCCAAGTAGCAGGCCTCTCATGCATTGACTAAAATAACAACAACAACAACATAATAATAAATAACAACAACAACATAATAATAATAATAAATAACAACAACAACAACATAACAATACATGTACATGTACTTTTGTAAAAATCTTGCACGGTATTTTCAATTGAGGCCCAATCTCAAGGACACCGGCAAAACGTGTCGTCTGCTTCTTGGCATTTTTACTTATGAAACTTGAAATGTTCATAGCATCGTGGAAACTGAAGGAACGACCAGCACCCTCACTAACTAGGAGGGACAGAACACGTTCTCCTTCTTCTTGAGCTGGTGTCTTCTTATAATGAGGGGCTGGGGGGCGGCGGCCATGAGAGGGACCAGGAACAGAATCATCATTATCATCATTCCTGTCATCCTCCGTTTCGCTATTAGGCAAAGTAGGACCACTAGAAAAAGATAGAGTTACTGTACAAACAGCAATAATGAACTCTATTCTCTGATACACATTGATGTCCTTATGCTATGTAGAAAGTTTGAGCTGATTCCGAGCTCAAATTCTGGAGATATGGCCATTTAAAAAACTGGCCAATTTTTGAAAAATACCCAAGGCTATAGCCCATGGTTTTTTTTTGCAAAAAATGGCTCCAAAATCACCCCAAATTTTTATTACATTTTCTGATACATATTGATGTCCTTATGCTGTGTAGATATAATAATTTGTAATGCTCTTACATTATGACAAGATCAATATTTTTTGACTTGAGTCCTTCTATGATTTCCTTGATTTGATCGTCAGAGCAACCACTGCTAGCATCTGTAAATAAATATATCTTCTTCTCACCAACCTTCTTCTTATTACTGAGAGAGAGAGAGGGGGGGAAGAAAGAGAGTACGATTAAATACATATTGAAATATTTACCTGGTGACCTTAACTAGTATATCAATAGCCACCACAATGGCATCAATAACTAATGAAGAACGTTAAGAAATAATAACTATTAATAACTAGCCACACCCACAAACATTAACTAATTAAGGTACCAACTAAGTAGTTATTAAGTAGTTATTAAGTGGATACAGTCTGCAGGAGCAGGTCCACACTTAACTTTTTCTTTTAAATATTTAGCTAGTTCGGTGGTGGGTGTAGTCACGTCCCAAACTGAGCTAATGTTTTGATACCCTCCGTCAGCTGACAAGTGATTGTCAGTATCGGCAGTACCAAATAAAACCACACCCACTTCATCTTTGCTACCAGAAAATATCTAATCAAAAGATAATAAATAATGATAATTAGTATTAATCTTATGTCTCATTTTTAATATAGTGCTAAATTTATTCAAAATTATTTAAATGTGACGCACTTTTTGAAAAACAATTTGTTGAGCTATTTTTAGTGCGGATTCTAAGTGGGTGTGGTCATCACCTCCAGCCCCGCCCACACTTAGTGGAACATCTCCCATTTCTGGTCCCACATCAATCAACAGAATTATAAAATCCTAAAATAAAAAACAATTATATACATATATAGCTTATATTTCTCATTCTTATTGTATACTTTTAACGCTCCTGCCATCTTGAAAAAACCCCGGGAATTTTTTAGAATACTGAGTAATGCGGATATAAACGGAAACAAATACGGAGCTTAATGAAAATGATTTGTAAAGGGCGTGGTTGGGTACTAGCTAGCCACACCTCTTTCAAGATGTCGTGGAAAACTTTCAAGTTTTTCGAATACGAAGAAGTGAAGGATCCAGAGACGAATGAACCTCTGAACAAGCTAAAGGTGAGTTCCACTAGTAGGAGGCTCCTTCATCAATAACCTCCCGCCATTTTAGGACTTGGGGATCACTTGCTGTTCCTGTGGGCGTGGCCTCATGATATTTGGAGGTGACAAACACTAGTATTGATTAATAAGAATGTCACTTTTTGCTCCTCCTCCTATTCTCTTCCAGATTCATCGGGAGGGTTCCACATCATGTCCAGTATCACTGACATGTTGTTCTGTCACGCGTACGCTCTTCGTGTCCAACACATTTACCAGCTCAAGTCTCGTAACGTGTTCCTCACCGTCGGAGACGATGAAGACTTTTGTCCGCTCATTCGTGTGTGGAACCTGGACAAGGTAACAGTTTGATGGGGGGAATAGTTGCTGTCAAAAACTGGTCGCCACTTTTATCTGTACATGTACATACTCATGATATTATAATGTACATGTACATGTATGTTACTCTCTCTCTCTCTCTCTCTCTCTCTCTCTTTCATTTCTGTAGCGTGATAAGCAAGGTTTTCCTACATGTACGAGGACAATAAAGGCAGCTATTTATGACGGAGGGATTGAGAAAAGAAGACCAGCTGTATGCTAATTCACAGTCTGATTATAGATACATACCTTCCCCCCCTCCCTCTTCCCCCTCTTCCTCCCTCTCCCTCTCTCTCCCCCCCCCTCCCTCTCCCTCCCTCTCCCCCTCTCTCTCTCTTATCCCACAGGTTATGTGTATCTGTGCTCATGAGAATACTAACCTCATTGCTATTGGTTTCAAAGATGGTACAGTGACTACCGTACGTGGGAACATTATGAGAGACAGACAGTCGAGACAGAAGATTGTACATGAGGAACCTGAACCTGGAACATATGTAACTGGTAAACAATTATTTATTTATTTATTTATTTATTTATTTATTTATTTAGGATTGGCATTTCGTCAGCTAGGTAATATTCCTGTTTTAATGATTGCGACAAACAGAGCTGTTTACTCTTGTTTCATGGACGACAAGAATACCAAAGTAATTTACAGTATCAATTGTTAATACTCCATCTCTATCATTCATTTAATGTTTCTAAAACAATAACAACTGTATCACTAGCAGCTGTTTATGAAGCTGTAGCGCCTGTTGTAAAATAATTAATGTTAGACTATACTGTAGTTACCTTATCATTAATTAATTAATGTCTCTATATAGTTCATGTATTACACTAGTATCTGCTGTTCATGAAATTAAATGTTAATCAATAATTATTATTATTGTTCCCCTGTAGTATCACATTGGTACGTTTGGTTGTGAGCTAAACTGCTGTGCTCTGACAGACCACACCCAGGACTATAAGTTTGTTATTGGGACCACAGAACTGGTTCAGTTCTTCACCGTTGACCTCCCTGCCCAATGCAAGGCTTTTGAAGGTACTGCCCAGGAGCTTTTAAATTTTTTTGAATTCAAATTTTAAATTTTTAAATCATTGCAGGTGACAAGTTTTTGCTGAGGTGGTATAGAGGCTACCTCATTACAGCTACAGAGGGCGGTAGGATGGGCGGGGCTAGAGGAGGAGGAGGAGGAAAGGAAACTAAAACACTGACCATATACGACATGCAAAACCAGTTCATAGGTAACTAGAATAACCTTGTCTCATTGTTCATTGTATGTCAGTATACATCAATTGATATACATGTACATGTACGTGTAATACGATCAAGAAATATTGAACATGGTATATGTACATGTACATGTACATGTACATGTACATGTACATGTACATGTATATATTTAGACAAAATGTTACTGTATAAAGATGACATGTGACATTGTCCTGATCCTATTTGCCTCTTGTAGCCTACCAGACCACATTCAATACTCGTATTGTTGATGTGTTGAGTGAGTGGGGGTCACTCTATGTACTGCTGAAGGATGGGAGGCTGATCAGACTGGACGAACTGGACACTAAAACTAAACTGGAGACATTGTTTAAGAAGAACCTTTATGATACAGCCATTAGGTATATACTGGGGGAGTTTAGGGAGGGAAGGAGAATTAATATCATCTCTCTCTCTCTCTTTCTCTCTCTCTCTCTCTCTCTCTCTCTCTCTCTCTCTCTCTCTCTCTCTCTCTCTCTCTCTCTCTCTCTCTTTCTCTCTCTCTCTTGTAGCTTAGCACGCAGTCAGTCCTATAGTGATGGTCTTGTTGAGATATTCACACAATATGGTGACCACCTGTACAGGTTAATTACTACTCACATATTACGACTATATCATTAACACACACACAGTGACATTAATACATGTACATGTACATACACGTACATCACGGCCAGCTGCTTATTAGCGCCAAAAATTTACTCTAGAAATAATCAAGTTAATCTTTTGAGATCTAAAAGATTAATGATCATTGTAATGTATGTATGTTATCTTTTGTCTCTTCCTTTCCTCTTTATAGTAAGGGAGATTACGACGGAGCCATCACACAATATAAACTGACAATCGGTACACTGGAGCCGTCCTATGTCATAAGAAAGGTATAGTACACTGTGTATATGTATTGTATAGCTGATAATTTTGGGAGGGTAAGATTTTGCTGATTTAAATTTCTCCCTCCAAAACTACCAGCTGTACTTTAGCTCTTAATTCCATTCACGTTTCTCTTCATATTTATAAGCAACTCTTTTCTATTGTTTTATTAGTTTTTGGATGCTCAAAGGATTTTCAATTTGACAGACTATTTAAAGGTATTGGGTACCTTTTCAAATATAAGACTTTAGTACTGTATGTTTCTTCTTCCTTATAAGGAGCTCCATGACAAGAGACAGGCTAACGCTGATCATACCACCCTCCTCCTCAACTGCTACACGAAACTCAAGAACGAGGAGCAACTCAGTGCCTTCGTTAGCGTAAGTACATTTACAATATGTATTGTGTATTTGAGCTTTGATTAAGCTGATTTTTACGAATTTTTAAAGTTGCTCCAAAATTAGGCCAAAGTCCCTGTACTATAGTACAGGGTCATTAGCTAAATTTTGCCAAAAATGACTAGAAGAGAGTTCTCAACTTTTATTACATTTTTTGATACATATACATGTTCTTATGTTGTGTAGAAAGTTGCTAATTCCGATCAAGTTTGGATTTTTTACAAATTTTTAAAGTTGCTCCAAAATCGGGCCAAAGTCCCTGTACTATAGTACAGGGTCATCAGCCAAATTTCACCAAAAATGACTAGGAAAGAATTCTTAATTTTTATAATTTTCCTGATGCATATACATGTTATTATGTTGTGTAGAAAGTTTGAGCTGATTCCGATCAAAATTAGATTTTTTATGAATTTTTAAAGTTGTTCAAAAGTGCATATCTTCATCTCTTTCTCTCTAAAGGAGGAGCAGGCTCCGTTTGATGTTGAGGCTGCTATTAAGGTTTGCCGTCAGGCTGGCTACCCTGAGCACGCCCTCACCCTCTCCAAAAGATTCTCCAACCACGACTGGTCAGATTATTATTATTATTATTATTATTATTATTATTATTATTATTATTATTATTATTATTATTATTAGGTATCTTTTAATTGTCTTGGAAGACCTCCATAGGCACAATGCTGCACTTCAATATGTCCGCTCTCTTCCATTTGCAGCTGTTAGTTAACGGACACGTACATGTACACGTACATGTACGTATAATCATGTATAATTATTGATAGGCTGTTCCTAACATGATCAAATATGGGCGGAGTCTCATTAAAGAGTTGCCAATGGAAACAACAGATTTATTAATAATGCTTTGCACTGATTGGCCAGTTGACCGAGATCACGTGACTCAAGCCCAGCCTTTGCCCGGGGCCATACAACCTTCACCTGGTAATCCACTGAACAGTTTTCAATTTATTTTAAATGATACTTTGTTTAGCTCCAAAGTTTTGTGCTGACCCAGCGAAATTCATATCAATTTTTGTTGATAAGAAGAAACACTTGATGCTTTTCCTTGCAGAAATAATAAGAGTTAGAGGGAGAGGGAGAGAGGAGAGAGGGAGGGAGAGAGAGAGATTTTATTCACGTGTTCATTGTGTAGATTCGTGACTACTGGAAGAGTAGTGTGGTCTGCAATACTTTACTTGAGCTGTATCTTAAAGGAATCACAAGCAAGGAGGAGAGAGGAGAGAAAGAAATGAAAGCTTTGGATCTCTTGAAGAACCCTCTTGCCGAGTATGACACTGATCACGCTCTCATGCTGGCAAGGACTTGTAATTTCCAGGACGGGATCCTTTACCTTTATCAGAAGACAGGACTGTGAGTTAGTGTAGCCACACCCATGTGACCACACCCCTTTGTAGATATCGTGAAATCATCACTTATTATATTGATAATAATAATATTGATATGATCATGGACTCATGCAAGCGATTCAGGTAACAATTCCATTACAATTACATTAATTTTTTTATAACTCTCTCCTCCCCCAGTAATCAAGAACCCACCGTGTGGATACAGGCCCTCATATACTGTGCCTCTCATGAAGATTGTAAGGATCGTATTTCTGAAGTACTCAGACACATTGAGGAACAGCACCTGCTCCAGCCACTGGTCGTAGTACAGCTGCTGGCCAGTAACAGGTAGTGTAGCCTATGGTGGGAATCGGAGGAGTTGCTAATAAATGATTATTTACAATTTTATTTGAGTTATGGTTGCTTGAAGGATTGAATTACTACATACATTACATTACATGTGTGCATGTACGTGTACATGTACAGTATGTACATTACATGTAAGTATGTTTTATGTTTGCATGTTTTTAATTGCCGCCATCTGGAGAGGATGACACAAGTTTTTGTGGTTGAATATTTTTATGGTTGAAAGGTCATTAAAAATCATATTTTAATATACTAATATCAACCCTTTTACTTTATCCAATTGGCCCCACCCCCTAAATACATGCTTTAGCGTACATGTACATGTAGGTATTTGCATCTCATTAATATTCATAGTTTATAATTAATTGGTTGCCCCGCCTACAATAGATACGCCACATTGGCTGATATTAAGGACTACATTGTGCGTCATTTAGAAGAACAAAACGAGTCAATTGCGAAGGTATGTGGTGGGTATGGTTTTATGATTATTAGCCACGCCCCCTTAGAGTGAAGGCCAGATCAAAGAGTACGGAGAAAGCACCAATCAGATGAAAGACGAGATCAGCCTATTGCAAAGAAAGTGAGAAAGAATTAATAATAATAATAATAATAATAATAATAACGTCATTAATTATTAACTAAAATTGAAGAAAAAATACTAAATACATTTCTATGCTAATAACATGTGCTTGTGTTTCTTCAGGGCGAGAGTGTATCAGGTTCGTAAGTGTAACCAGTGTAACCGAGGTCTTACACTACCAGCTGTTCACTTCTTATGCCAGCACTCTTATCATCAAACGTAAGCCACACCTATTGACCACACCCACCATACTTAGCCCCGCCCCTTTGTTGCATAGTTGCCTTGAGGACGAATACGAGAATGAGTGTCCGACTTGTGCCAGAGAGAATAGGTATTAAAATAATAATAATTATTATTATTATTGTTAATTTTATTGTTAATGAATTATAGAAAAGTACTGGATATTATTCAAAGACAAGAACAATCAACAGATTTACATGAAACATTTCATGCACAAGTAACCCCCCTCTCTCTCCCCCTCTCTCCCTCCCCCTCTCTCTCCCTCCTCTCTCTATTTCTTAATTGTGTATTGAGTGTTTTCATCAGTCATATTATCAAGTGAATAATGAGCAACAACTTAGTCTCAATTGAGATTACCATTGTTATTATCAAAACTGAATACACTGAGAGAGAAAGAGGGGGAGCAGGTCAGGTGGCCCATTAGAGAACAGAGGATGATGCAGCTGGATTCACAATACATGTTGCCCTCTTTTTTTCTACATTACAATGAACCTTTGAATCAATTACTGTACATGTACAGTCCTGGAGTGTGTACATGTTTATTAGAATTACTAGTATTACTGTACTATATTTACGCTTTTTGTAGTTGTTGTTTTTCAATTATTTATCATAATTTTTTTCTCTTTTTTTGTTCAGCTTGGTCGGGCTCCCGATGGTTTTTCTGTAGTAGCTGATTATTTCGGGCGAGGAGTTTTCTCTGACGTAAGAAAAACAATGTACAGTGTAGCCTCTTTAATAAAGGACACCTTTATAATGAGGACACCTTTATAATAAGGGCATTTTGTGATGTCCCAATTGGTACAAGCCTATACAAAAGTACCTCTGAAATGAGGATACCTCTGTATTAAGGACAGGTCCTTATAATAAAGAGGCTACACTGTGGATCGTTACGTAGATACAAATACTTGACAGCTGCATTTATTAATTATTGGGTGTATTGGCCTATTATATTGAATTTGTGTTCCCCTTACTTTATAAGGAGCTTTATTTATGTTGGCAGCTCTGTTAAACAATGTGCCCAGACTTCCTTTGCACTTCTTGCTCCTCTCTTAATAAGGAATAAACTAGTTATCTTTGTTTGTCTCTCTCTCTCTTTCTCTTTCCCTTTATCTTTGTATCTGTGCATGAGGGGGGCCTAGAACAAGGGGACATTTTATTGGCAGGTGCTACCAAATGTTGTACTAAGTAATTTAAGCTATGTTAATCATATTTGTGTTAGGCCTTATAGTGGAATTCAGAATATTACAAACAACTATAGATACACATGTGATGTAATTTTGTTTATTTCTTGTTGACACAGGCAATGAAGCAAGTAAGATAGATGAAGCTATCTCTGTTTTCATGGCTTTCTCTGTATAAACATTGAAACAGACAGTGTTTGTATGTGTGTGTGTGTGTTTGTATTGGCTTATGAAAGTCCCTCTATATAATCCAATTATGTATGTATTCTAGCAGCTGTATTTTAGTGTGTTTGAATTTCAATGAATAATATTATAATAATTAATATTCATGATAATGAATATTAATTAACTATATTACAAGCTCCTGTCTCCATTTCCAGAAGAAGCAAGTTTTGAAGGATCTAGCTGCTATGGAGGATGAGAAAGCGAGAGAACGTGAAGCAGAGGCATTCTTGGCCTCTGTTACTCCTAAAATTCTAAGCAATTCTTCACAAGCAGGTGGAATACCAGCTCACCAGAGAACAGCCGTTCGTGTAGGCGGCACTAGCTCACTCTCTGCCAATCTGTCTCTACTGCAGCAGAAGGAAGCGAGACAGCAAGCTGTTAAGAAGATAGTCGGTTCAACCAAGCCGAGCAGTCAACCCGTACCATCTACTGTACCTTCTTCTATTACAAACGGGAAAGCAGAAGACAAGAAAGGACCTGGCCCTAAGGTTACAAGTAATGGTACAAGTGCCTCAGGCACTGTGACATTGGGTGCTGGCACAGGAGGGGGAGTACCCCTTCAACGAACCCCCAGTCCCTCTAAACCCCTTCCCCCTCCCACCGTTAAGACAGTCTCACCTGCTCCTGTCTCCGCCCCACGTCCAATTAATAAAGTTCCCAGTCCTTTCACGAAACCTGCCCCTCCCCCAACTGTAAAGACGTCAATTAAAGAACCAGTCAAACCGGTTCCTCCTACTGGTACTGCTGTAAAGACGGTGTCCCCTAAAGTGACCACGCCTCCTAGTAAAGTAGAAGCTCCACCCACTAAAGTGCCCGATAAAGTTGATCCTCCCGCACTAGTTAAATCACCATCTCCACCCTCAGCCCCGCCCATCACTACCACTCCAAATAAGGTCACTACACCTGTCGCTACGTCCATCAAAAAGGAGACCACTCCCACTAAAGCCCCTGCCTTCACTCCGCGTAAATTTGGTACTTCTACAGGCGGAGTGTACTCGTCCACACAGAAAGCAATTGAGAGTCAGTTAGACGAGGATTTAGCAGAAGAACTGGCCCAGTCAAAGGCTGCAGGATACTTTACCAACAAGCAAAAAGCAATGGGTGCTAACAAAGTTCCGAGTTCCTTTAAGAATGAGCTTGGGGCTAAAATTGATGGAAGCAGCACCTTACTGATGACAGAGGAAGAGCTAATACTAGCTATCGATCATAAATCTAAAAAACCACAGCTAGGGAAGGTTGTAGATGAGCCTTTACCTTCCGCTAGTTTCAAGCCACAGCTTGGTCGGGTCATTGATTCAAATCCTACTAAGGAACCAGCTGGTAACTCCAGCTCCTCGTTCAAGCCTCAGTTAGGACGTGTCATACCAAACAGAAATGTTGTTAAATCTTCTGGCCCTTCGTCGTCTTTCAAACCTCAGTTAGGACGAGTCTTACCTGATAATAATGTTAATGGTGTATCTGATAATGCTCCCACACCACCGCCAGCTAAAGACCCTCTTCCATCATCAAAAGCTGCTACTGTAAGTACTGCCACACCAGCAGCTGCTCCTTTTAAACCAACCAATACATCATCCCCTCCAGTTCCTGGAATAGTTGCCGCACCTCCTCCTGTTGTAGCTGCTCCTCCTCCTCCGCCACCAACTGGAGGTGCCCCTCCTCCTCCACCACCAACTGGAGGTGCCCCACCTCCTCCACCACCTACTGGAGGTGCCCCACCTCCTCCACCACCGACTGGAGGTGCCCCACCTCCTCCACCACCAACTGGAGGTGCCCCTCCTCCTCCACCACCAACTGGAGGTGCCCCACCTCCTCCACCACCTACTGGAGGTGCCCCACCTCCTCCACCACCGACTGGAGGTGCCCCACCTCCTCCACCACCAACTGGAGGTGCCCCTCCTCCTCCACCACCAACTGGAGGTGCCCCACCTCCTCCACCACCTACTGGAGGTGCCCCACCTCCTCCACCACCGACTGGAGGTACCCCACCTCCTCCCCCTTTAAAAAGTGCCCCGCCTCCTCCTCCCAGACCTGGAGGTGCCTTTCCTCCTTGCCCCGGACCTGGAGGTATCCCTTATCCTCCTCCTTGCCCCGGACCTGGAGGTATCCCTCGTCCTCCTCCTCTACCAGAAGGTGTCCCGCCTCCTCCCCCTCCTCCTCCACCACCACCCCCTCCTCTTAATTATCGGCCTCCAAA